CCAATTGAAGAAGTTATCACTTTTATAGGTTATATATACAATAAAATACAAATAAAATATTTACTTTGTTATCTTCATCACTGGTGACCGGAAATATGCGATTTCTTTTGGTCTCGATATGTCCAGAACTAAGAAAATCTTTATCAATTTTTTGAAATTTTTCCTTGTAATGGGCGTTAGGTTTGTTAGGCATCTCTCCTTAAGTGTTCGACACGTCCTGTCCAAAAGATTATTCATTTGCCATCAATACAAAATAAATTTCATATATCGGTGTTGGAATAATCTGCCGATAATGATGTTCAAGACTTGCACACGACGTCAAATATAACTAATGACAACAACAATACAAACACGGACCAAAAACTGTCAAAATTCCATAGCTTTCTAATAAAAAAAAACGTATTTCGCGCATGTTTTAATAAATGCCCCGATATGAGGCAAACTACAATAAATAGGTATAGGAATGTTAATAGATAAATTGTAGAGAATTAAATTAAATATGGAGCATTCCATTTAAAATTTTCGACTTTCTTGCGGTTGAATATGGAGAAACTGTAATTCAATTTTTGACCTTTCTGTATAAGATACTCTGATACAATAAATTACAATCTATTTGACAGCATCTAAGAGTAATCGTACCAATTTAGAGCTCTTTTGAATGAACGTTGGCAGGAATATGGGGTTTTAAAGAGCATAGTGAAATTTGCCAAAAAAAACTTAAAATCAAAATAACTCAAAAACGAAAGACGCTAGGTACCAATAACTTTTATGAAAGTCAACATATTTTTACGTACAATTAAAAGGTGTAATAAAAACTATAACATTTCATTTAAAATAACGAAGTTATGATCTTCTTCCGATAGACCGGAATGGCAGCCATGTTGAAAATATTTTAGATCGAAACTTCCGAATGAACAACCCATGCTACCAAAGTTTCAAATCTCTACGAATAGTGGAACCTGAAAAAGTTCTAACGAACCAGTTACGTGAGACACCTGTATGACCTGTATTACAATTATATCATTCACGTATCGTCCAAAAAAAACGAAATTTGTTGTTCATAATAGTTAACGAATATGTCAGCTACTATATAGAGATCTGTGATCCCATAGGGAGACCATCAAACATCTTGTAAAATTTATTGTTGAAGATAAAAAAGTTTTCTTCGCATACTACAGGGTAATTCAAATTCGACCCCCACCATTGGGATCTCAGAAACCATAAGAGATACAGAAATGATTAAATGGGGGCAAAGTTGCGTATCTTACAACTCATCATTTTTCAAGTAAGTTTTTGGATCTAGCCGCTTTAGTTTTTAAAATATGGCCGAAAAACATTTATTTTTCGTTTTATCGTGAATCTGAAAAAACATTCTTAAGGCAACTTTTTATGAAAAATGTCATGATACAATTAAAAATTTTCCCCGACGTTTCGTGAAACTATCATCAGGTTTTTTTATTTGAATGTGACATATCATTCAAATCAGAATTAATTATCCTATTTTTTTATGTGAAAATCAAATATGGCGTTCATAAGAAAAAATAAACCTGATGATAGTTTCACGAAAACGAAACGTCGGAGAAAATTTCTAGTTATGTCATGACATTTTTTAGAAAAAGTTGCCTTAAGAATGTTTTTTCAAATTCACGAAAAAACGAAAAATAAAGAAGTTACAAAAAGTAATTTTTTTTTTTCGGCCATATTTTAAAAACTAAAACGGCTAGATCCAAAAACGCATCACTAATTTAATATACCCTCATTTTACTGAAAATAAAACATACATCGCAGTTTATCGAAATTTTAAAAGTAACCTTTCCAAATATAATATCACAACAGGTTTTACTTCAAATCAAAAAATTGGCTAACAAATTATTAACAATAAACACAAATTTGATCAACATGAGTAATAAACGTTTTCAATTAATCAATTAATAATGTATAATAAAATACATTATTAATTGACTGTTGAACCCACATATGTGATACTTTAAATAATTGAGGAAACAAATTTTCAATTAATCAATTAATAATGTATAATAAATATTTTTTGTTTATTCAACCATTTCTTTTGTTAGTTGGTTTTTAACTCCTAAATAAATAAAATAACTTATTTATCTAGAAGTTTGATATTTATTTCTTCCCCTAAGTTCCAACCATTTTCAAACATTTTTACATCACATATTAAACAAATACCGTGTCAAATTTCGCCAAACTCGTTTTGTTTAAAATATTTTCAAAATACCTGACAATTTTATTACATCATTCTTACGAAAAGCGGTAACATATTAACCTCCGTAACTTCGCTGGGGTTGATCAAGGATGAATGAGAAAAAACATTTAACTAATATTTTTGAATATACTACAAGTATATTTAACGCCATCAAAATCTATAGGGTAGTTTTTAAATAAACCCGAAAAAATAAGGGTAGTTCGCCCATTTTCACCCTGTGGTATATGTGTGATACATCAAAAGAAAGTTTATTAAAAATGAATATCAGTTTCAATATACCGAACTTTGATAGCACTTAGCACACAGTATTTAATGGATTCAGAAGAAAAATCTCTATACAATGACTAAAAAAATTTATTTGTAGTATAAAATAGCTACGAAACTAGCCCATGAAAATCGGAATCTAAATGACAGAGTTACAGCTTGGGGTAGGCGTCTTTTCTGCGACATCCTGTATAACAGTGGTGTCCACTAATTTTTGATCAAGATCGACTTTTTATATAAATGTCTTACCAAGATCGACCGAAGGGTTTAAAGTAAACTTCCTTTTTTTTGCTCTGAGGCCCAGATATAGATATTTCCGATTCATGATTTTCTTGGCGATCGACGTTATGGCCACCATAAATTTAGAGCTTGTAAATAAAAAATAGTAATAATTGAGTTCATCTTTTTATGGATCTAGTCTTTATGGTCCATTACTAAGGTTTTATGTATAAAAATATTTCCCTATCGCTTTTAGTTTATGAGTTATGATTGAGTTAATTTTCAAAAATCATCAATTTTGATGTTTAATCGATTTAGAGCTTATAAATAAAAAATGGTAATAATTCGGTTCAATCTTGTTATGGATCTAGTCTTTATCGCCCATTATTAAGGTTTTATGTATACAAAGTATTTCCCCATCGCTTTAAGTTTTTGAGTTATAATTGAGTTAATTTTCGAAAATCAACAATTTTGATGTTTAATCGATTTAGAGCTTATAAATAAAAAATAGTAATAATTGGGTTCAATCTTGTTATGGATTTAGTCTTTATGGCCCATTACTAAGGTTTTATGTATAAAAAGTTTTTCTCCATCGCTTTTAGTTTTTGAGTTATGATTGAGTTAATTTTCGAAAATCAACAATTTTGATGTTTAATCGATTTAGAGCTTATAAATAAAAAATGGTAATAATTGGGTTCAATCTTGTTATGGATTTAGTCTTTATGGCCCATTACTAAGGTTTTATGTATAAAAAGTTTTTCTCCATCGCTTTTAGTTTTTGAGTTATGATTGAGTTAATTTTCGAAAATCAACAATTTTGATGTTTAATCGATTTAGAGCTTATAAATAAAAAATGGTAATAATTGGGTTCAATCTTGTTATGGATTTAGTCTTTATGGCCCATTACTAAGGTTTTATGTATAAAAAGTTTTTCTCCATCGCTTTTAGTTTTTGAGTTATGATTGAGTTAATTTTCGAAAATCAACAATTTTGATGTTTAATCGATTTAGAGCTTATAAATAAAAAATGGTAATAATTGGGTTCAATCTTGTTATGGATTTAGTCTTTATGGCCCATTACTAAGGTTTTATGTATAAAAAGTTTTTCTCCATCGCTTTTAGTTTTTGAGTTATGATTGAGTTAATTTTCGAAAATCAACAATTTTGATGTTTAATCGATTTAGAGCTTATAAATAAAAAATGGTAATAATTGGGTTCAATCTTGTTATGGATTTAGTCTTTATGGCCCATTACTAAGGTTTTATGTATAAAAAGTTTTTCTCCATCGCTTTTAGTTTTTGAGTTATGATTGAGTTAATTTTCGAAAATCAACAATTTTGATGTTTAATCGATTTAGAGCTTATAAATAAAAAATGGTAATAATTGGGTTCAATCTTGTTATGGATTTAGTCTTTATGGCCCATTACTAAGGTTTTATGTATAAAAAATATTTCCCCATCGCTTTTAGTTTTTGAGTTATAATTGAGTTAATTTTCGAAAATCAACAATTTTGATGTTTAATCGATTTAGAGCTTATAAATAAAGAATGGTAATAATTGGGTTCAATCTTGTTACGGATTTAATCTTTATGGCCCATTACTAAGGTTTTATGTATAAAAATAAAAAGTTCTTCTCCATCGCTTTTAGTTTTTGAGTTATGCTTGAGTTAATTTTCCAAAATCAACAATTTGGATGTTTAATCGATTTAGATCTTATAAATAAAAAATGGTAATAATTCGGTTAAACTTTTTTATGGATCTAGTCTTTATGGTCCATTATTAAGGATTTATGTATAAAAAATAATTCTCCATCGCATTTAGTTTTTGAGTTATCATTGAGTTAATTTTTGAAAATCAACAATTTTGATGTTTAATCGATTTAGAGCAGTGGTGTCCACTAATTTTTGATCAAAATCGACTTTTTATATAAACGTCTTGCCAAGGTGTAACCTTCCTTTTTTTTGCTCTAAGGCCCAGATATAGATATATCAAATTCATGATTTTCTTGGCGATCGACTCAAAACTGCTTTGCGATCGACGTTATGGACACCACTGCTGTATAAGAATATGAGATTGTTATACAAATAGAGCAAACGAAACAATTTTGTATTTATTATTATCAACGAACTTTTAGTAAAATTTAGTTTCTAAAATCAGAGACTATAGACGTAGAGTTTTATCTCGCGGGTTTGGTAGAGAAATGTAAATAGAATTCCAGAAGACACATATTGATAAAGAAAGAAACTTTCGAATGCGAACTGCTAACTGAAATTGTTAAGGTTTACTTACGAGTGCCGTCGAAACGGGTTGCGATCGTATCAAGGAAAGTGTTTTGGGGCGCCAACAGCCCCTTCCTAGCAGGCATTTGGTCCCTGAAAGTGTCCCAGGTTAAATCGTCTCTGTAACAAAAAAAAATAACAAAATCATTGATTTCATTCTCAACGTAAACAAAACTAAACGATCTTGTATTGTTTAGTTTCAGTCCTAACAAAACACGGAGATTTCTTTAAAAACAATACACGATTATTTTAAAGTAATGAATGATACGATAACTTTTTCGTTATTATGAAAAAACCAGATTTAATGTATCCCATAGGATAAATAGCGTTCCATCAATTAGAAGTACTTCTACACATATGGTTTTAGACGTTATTTCCGAGTTCATCTGCGACAGAAATTATTACCAGTCATTAACATCAACACTGCATTAGTTTCATAACGTTAATGGTAAAGTCTGAACATTTAAACGATGCATTGTGATAATTAATAATATGCAAACTGCCTCAGTGTGTACTTATCTCGTCTTTGTTTTCAGAATCTCGATAAAAGCAAGTTTCAATTTCCATAAGAAGTTATGGAGAAAAACAATGATAATTATAATTAATTTTAATTGTCAGGAAAATTAATTTGCTGTTGAAGACGATAATGAATACGTAACCGTGAAATTAATTGGATCTTAAATCTAAACAAAAATTCAAGAAAAAAGGGCTGGACGGGGGATATAATAAGAATGAAGGATGGGATAAGGACTAAGAAAATTTTAGAATGGTACTCAATAGACAAAAGGAAAGAAAAAGGTGACCAACTGCAGAGGTTTAACCTTGCATAGACTAACTTGGCATCGATTACAATGAAATAGAATGAAAAACATATACAAAGACATATGGTTCTACCTGAATTAGACGACAAGAACATACGAACTCAACTCTAGTAGCGGAATGCCGTTATTGACACCAAAATAGTTACTCCCATAAATGAGACTGAATATTCTAATTTACTTTGATAAGTTAACAATGAGCATAAAATATTAATTCAGTTTTTAATATTATTACTAATCACAATCTATGTATAACTTATGCATAACCTTCACATCTTCCTTTATAAATTCAAAAAGTCTTATTTCTTAATTCACAACTGTTTTAGAGAAAATACTTTTTATTTTACGCTTGCTTTATACTTATTTGGAAGCTTCTTATTCATAGAAAAATGGTCTGCACCTGCAAGTTCCAGGTATATAGCTACCTAACTTGAAACATTCCTTTACAACCTCAAAACGTGTTATTTCTTAATTCCTAATCGTTATGGAGAAAACAGTTTTTTCCATTAAGCGTCTTTTTATAACCTCGAGAAGTCTTCAGTTTCTATCTAAATTGGCATTTAACCCTTATTAAACGTTCCATTATAACCCGAAAGAGTTTCATTGTTGAAATCCAAAGCTTTTGAAAACAATTTTTTCTTTTAATCTCATTTCTAACAATTTTCTTCTTAATGCGCCTTCTCCATTACTGAAGGTTGGAGATAATTTCGGCAAGTGTTCGTTGTTTTATGCTGTTCTTAATAATAAATGGGTGTCCAATGAGATTTTTTTTTAAATGACATTAATTTTGAAGGTGATGCGCGACTGGAAGGTGTTGCATTTAGATAATATTTAGATATTATCAGTTTTGGTCCTAAAATAAAAAAACTTGTACTGTTACGTTTGAGAAGGGCTAATTTAAAAATTTTGTTGTAAAGTAAGAAAAACTATGTGTTTTTTAGAAGATGATTATTATTACTATTAGACTATTATTATAAAAATAAAGAAATACATTTCACAAACTACATTATTCTATATTAATGGTATTTAAATAAATTCGACAAATTGTCTTACAACTGGTTTATTTTAAGTTTAAGTTCAACCTGACATGTTTCGGTCTTTTAAATGACCATCATCGGAGGTATCGTTAGGATACCTCCGATATAGGATATTCTATATATAGGATGTTCCTAACCTTCAAATATAACGTGATTCCCGGCTTTCCTGATACTATCCACAAAAACATCTTCCACACATATCTGCTAGCAGCTAATCTATTTTCTTATATGTTATTCCTCATATGTCATTTTTACGATACCTCCGATGATGGTCTTTTAAGAGACCGAAACATGTCAGATTGAACTTAAACTTAAAATAAACCAATTGTAAGACAATTTTTCGAATTTATTTAATTACCGCACTGGTTAAAGAATGGATCTGCTTATTCAACAATTAATGGTATTGTCACTAATTATATTTGGTAACTTATAGTGTCTTATTTTTAAGACATCCAGTCTTAATTAAGAAGTGACAATAAAAATTGTTTTTAAAAATTAATATAGAATAGATTATGTCTTTAAGAATCCAATGACGTAAGTTATATGTTTTTTAAATAATCACACTAATGTTAGAATCTTATTTGATGTAGTTTGTGAAATATATTTCTTTATTTTTATAATAATAGGTGGCTAGCTCCTGAAGATGATTGCAACTAGGAATTGAAACCGGTTGAGCCAAAAATAAACACATCCATCTTCTAAAAAACACATAGTTTTTCTTACGTTATAGCTAAATATTAAGATGAGAAGAGACAACTACAATAATAATAATTTAAAAATGTTAAAAACAAGCGTAAAAATGTGATTGTTGCCGAATTTTGGCGACATGCGTGATCGGAAGAAGTCTCTATCAGTTCCCATCCTTCTTAGTACCTCATCATTGCTGACCTGCTCCGTCCAAGAGATCTTCAGCATTCTTCGGAAAGTTCACATTCAAAAGACATTCAAAACGCGATGAAATCCCTCTGCACTGTACGTAGTGATTGTGTAGTTTGTTTATTTTAAGTTATTTATATATTCTCCGTTTATTTCGATTCCTTCTTCAATATTTTCGAGGGTATTTTAAAAGATTTTTTCAGATTATATATTTTACACACTCCTCTTTTTGTCGCTTTGTCTGTTGTCAGATGATCGTTTATTTTGATCGATGCCATTTGTTCCCAATACAGGTTCTTAATAAGGGCCACATTTTTATAGTCTATCCCATGATGTGTTAGGGTTTCGATTAGTTCTGTATGTTTTACTCGATGAAACGCTTTTTCCTATGTACGCTCGCATTCTCTGTATGTTGGTATATGAGTCTGAGCAATATTTTCAGAATGTGACTCATTAGGCTTGTTAACCTAAAGTGTTACTTATTTGCTTCATTTTTCTTGGGTATCGGTACAAACGTTCATTTGCCAGCCAGTCTTCTGGGAAGGTTTCCGTACTATATATTTTGTTCATTAGCAGTGTTAAGGTGTGAATCAGTGGATTAGCAATCTCTGGTGCAATAAGCACAATGCCAATTCTAGCAATGGAGGTTCTGCTTGGCCTATCTCCTCTACATTTGCATATAGAGAAAGTGGCTAGAATTACCATTCCTTCCGCACCCCCGTCCTGCCAATGGGGTACGGAAGACATTATAGCCACTGATACTGTGCTATCAATGCCGTCAGATTTGGTGGGATCACTATCAGTGATTAATGCTCGATACCAGATTGTACTGCCTAAATGGCAATCCTGGATCGAAAATGAAAATTCTCTAGTTCAAGCAGATATTTGCATGTACACAGATGGATCTAAAACACCGGAACGGGTCGGAGTATACTGCCAGACACCTCGAATTAAGCAAGCTTACAGCCTGGGTACGTACTGTACTGTATTCCAGGCGGAAGTATTTGCTATTGACATGGGTGCTAAAATCCTTCTTGAGAGAGGGGTGAAGAACATGACAGTACGACTTTTCTCAGACAGTCAAGCCGCTCTCCAGGCGCTGCAAGCCCTGAAAACGGTGTCGGCTTGGTGAGTGCAAAAGAACATTAAACACACTGAGTTGTGATAACAGAGTTTCTCTGATCTGGATTCCGGGTCACTCTGGGGTTGCTGGGAATGAAGCGGCAAATGAGCTAGCACGAGAGGGCAGCGCTAAAGTGTTTGTGGGACCAGAACCAGCAGTTGGTGTATTATTTGCTAAGGCCAAACAAAGAGTTGGACTGTGGGCTAAAGAGAGACTTCGCCTACAGTGGACCAGTTCTCCTAGAATGAGACATGCTAAGGTGTTTATTAACATCGCCACTGTCAAACCCGGGAATATTTTAGGACTTGCTCGTAGCAGCATAAAAATTCTAATGGGTGTCTTTACTGGGCACTGCTCTTATTACAAGCACACCTCAACTTGTTGGGTTTAGCCGACGATTTTGAATGTCGACTATGTGCGGAGGAAGCAGAGAAGGTTGAGCATGTTTTATGCCACTGCCCTGCTGTTAACCGTATCAGATTCTCGATTTTTGGGTCGCAGTTTATCTCCTCAAAGGATCTGAATGACCTTTCACCGTGCGAGGTATTAATGTTCGTTAAGAGCATTGGACTGCACGGTGAAATTTGATAACGATATCTATCGGGGTACAATAGATCCTTAGGGTCGCGGTGCAAGGTTGGTTGGTCCCCCTACTCGACTTTCTTCATGTATAAGCTTTATCATTTCTACATATATTTCGTCTGGACCGGGGGCCTTTCGTGTCTTTGGCGTGCTAACTGCTTTTGTAACTTCTGATATTAGTATGTCAAGTATTATTTCTTGGGTTACATTCATCTGCGGTTCTGTTTTTTCTAGTTACCATTTGATTATTATTACCTACTAGAGTCATCGTAGTGAATCTTTCCTTCATATTTATCATTTCTTACCTTTTTGTATGTATTAAAGTGGTCTAGTTTTCTTAGTAAGTCCTTCAGTTCCTCACAAAACTTTCCAACAGTTCTTTTTACATCTATTGTTCATCCATTCTTCGTTCGCTTCCCTAATTTGTTTTCTGATGATTATCTGTATTTCTTTATATTTCGCTTCTTTTTGATTTTTGTAAGATCTTCGAGTGTCCATCAGTTGTAACAGTTTTTCTGATATCTATGAATTTTTTGTAATTCCTATAACATCGTGTAATTTTTCTGTTTGTTTGGCTGTAATTGTTATTTTGAAAGTGTCTAAATGTCTTCTGATTTTGTTGGTGTTTCACTAAATTTTTCTTCGAGTGTGTCATTCAATATTTTCTCTAATTCTGCTTGAATT